GTTTTTTATATTTATCTTTTTCTTAATTAATTATAGTACATATTTTATATTATTTTTTTTATAATTAATATCATTTATTCTCTTAATTAATTAAAATATATATACTTTTTAAATAATTATAATTAATATATTTTATTAAATTAAGAAAATATATTTTAATTAAGGAGTATTTTAGTTTAAAGATAATTAATATATCAAACATTGTGAATTGGATCTTATATATAAAGAAATGAGCAATTATTCAAAGTTAGATTTTATAAATAGAAATAAAATTAGTATTATGTAATTATATATAAATAAAAAAAATCACATGAATTAAGAAAAATAATTAAATATATTTAATTTTTATGATTTTATATAAATATACATTACATTTATAAAATATTTTTAATTACACTAGTAGTTAGTATTTGTGTTTATTACTTTAGAGGTATTTTTGGTTTAAAAATATTAAATAAAATTAATTTAATTGAAACGTGCTTATATTTTGGTATTAAAAAATTAAGTATTTTCTGGTTTATATATAAGTTCAGAAAATATAATAATAGAAGAATCAAGTATATAAATAATTTTTTTAATGTAACACTTATATTCTTTGATTAACGATCAGGATTTTATTTTTAGTTTGAACATAAAGTTTTAATTAAAAATATTGCTTTATTTTTATTGAAATTAACTCATGAAAATAAGTTATACCTTTTTATTAAAAATAAATAAATAAATAGAGTAATATAGATACCATTACGGATCCAACATGGAGGGAGAGAATACATGATCTCATTCAAGAGAGAGCATGCTACGTATCGTGTGATTCCATTCAGCAAATGTGTTGCATAGAGACCTTTTTTCTTTTTCTTTTTTTAAGTATCTTCCTACCAATAATTGAAGACTAAAATTTTTAATGCGTATAAATTATTTATGTGGATTTTGTTTTCAAAAAAAAAAAAGTCATCTCTATATACTATATAAATCATTTTGAAGTTCAATATTAAATTAATATGATGAAGATCTCGTCAAATTTTTTAAACAAATAAAGCATGCATGATGCACATATTTGTGCAAGCCACAAATGATGGAGTATATAAGAAGGTTCAACTACTCGAGAGCAAACATTTCATGCACCACTTTCACACTATTCTTCAACGTCATACCAACACATTACTCACTTGCTAATTAAAATATATAACATGTCATTAGTTCTCAACTTGCTAACTTATGTGCATTTCTTTTGAGCCATATGTCTTTTTATTTAATTTTAATAATGCGTCTATTATTAGTTTTCATATCAGATGGAATTTAATATTTTTACCTTTAATTAGTTATTTAATCCATGGAAAATATTTTAGTGACTTTACCTACTTTATGCATAATGAGGCATGAGATACCAAAGTTTTGTGACTTCTATATTCTCATTATGTATAACAAAGTTTATACAATAAACTTGCAAAAAAAAATCTTGTAGATTTTTCTTGTGAATTTTTCATGCAATTTTTTTTTATGAATTTTTTTATTTTTATTTTTTGCAATTTTCTTCAAATTATTAAATAATTTAATAAAAAATATAATTACTTTGTTAAGTTTGATGAAAAAAATCATTGAAAATTTTAACATTTTCTAAATGAATTTATTCGTGGAGACAGTGGATTCCTACATATAAGTTAATCATTCTTTTTATTTTAACTGATCTTTTACACACAAAAAATAATAATTAGAGCATGTAATAGAGTTTTTAAAGTTTCAGAAACTAAAATTTTGATGTAGGGTAGGGGGTAAGCACATTACTTCAGCTTTATTAACAAATAAGCTTTTAAAAAGCCATAGATTTAACATAATAGATATTTAATATTAAATTATATTTTGAAAACATTATTCTTAACTAATCTTTTCAATCATCCCGAATAACAATTCCTTTTATGTTAACCCGAACAATAGCTAAATAGCTAACTTGTAAGCACTTGATAATAAATTATCTTACAACTTTTCCTAGAAATTAATTGTACATACAATTATAGTACCTAATCCAAACTCAAAGCAAAAGCTGAATACAAGTACAGTACTCATACACACTAGGCAACATGGAATTGAAATACAAAATGTCTCGACAGATTTAAATTCATGAACAAAATTTCTGAGCTACGGCATGCAGCTACAACAGAAATACAGTAGATTTCATTTCACTTCTCATACAAGCACTAATAATCTGAAAATGAGAAATGTCCTACACGAACAAAGGTGTGCACAAAAACCCAACCCTCGGCGGCTCTCTGCCCCAAAGACAATATCCAGCAAACAAAATTTTGTACTGGAGAAAAGAATAAGGTAGGTGCTCTCTTCACTACACTTTCACCGTTTGACAAAATTGCTGCAAAAGAAACCCACAATCGATAGAAGGCAAAAATAGTTTTGGTCGTCATATCCTAAATGGCGGGTTCCCTGAGCAAGAATGATCTAACTTTGCCCTTTTCAACTTAGATTTCTCGATAGCAATTTCTTGGAAAAGATTTGGCCCACCAAAACTATGCTTGAAGCCCCTTAGCTTCTTCCTCTTTCCTTTATCATATTCTTCATCCCTGTAAATTGTGACAGCAAGATGAAAATTTATAAGAGGAATGTATAGAACAAATTTTAGAACTACGAAAGAGAAAAGAGAGAAGAGTGTTGGATAATAAATGATGTGATGGAAAGAGACAAATAAGAGAAAAGAGAGAAGAATGTTGGATACAATAAATGATTTGATGGAAAGAGACAAATGATGTATAAATTGTTGGATGTAATATTACATCTCAATTTATAAATATATTCAAAATTTTGGATCAAAATAGTCCAGTCACACATAGTAATGACAAATCCCAAACTTCCCCCACCAAAACTCCAAGCATGGTGATCAGAACCTCTATTCTTTGGGAAGAGCG